ATTATAGAGAAAAAACGACAAATATTTGTTAATAAATAAATGAATCTATTGAATTAATTCAAGTAAATCATTGAGCATGTGTGAACAACAGATATCCATAATCAAATATGAGACCACTTAGGTTTAAGAGGAAAATATATAAGACAAATATTTGATTTTCATTTCCAAATCCTACATATGTAGAAGTTAATGGATATTCTCATGTTTGTACATATGCGGGTGTGTGTGTCTATGGACGAGTCTTTACAAACTTCGCAAAACGTAAAACTAAGCAAACAAACGGGTGCTGTGAAATTCAAAGTAAGAAAATCAAATGCTTATATTTAATATATTTACTCGCATATAACATATACTATATATGGTATATACTATCTACATATAATAGAAAAAGGGCCTTAAAGGAAATAATAAAATGTAGAGCCTGCAAACGATTTTTTTCGCAAAATAAATAATGAAGATTAGAGTTTTAAGTCTGAAACACAATTTAAAGGCTCATATTAAAGGGCGCTATATTTTTTAAACATGTAATTTTCAATAAAAATTAACTACACACATATAATATAATGTTATGACAAGAATTTAGCTTTATTATAAAGATAAAAATTTGCCATTATGTTTTAAAAATGATTTCGGGCAAGTGTACACCGCGGCTGGCTCGAATAAATTCTAGCCGAGAGGCGTAATTTTTGCCCACTTTTTGCAGTAGTATTAAATTCACATAAGCCCACCAAAAATAGCCCACCGTGTAGGTCACGCCACAGGTCCACCATGCAAGATAACACGCTCACCAAAATTTTCCTTCAATAACTTAACTGTTTCGTTGGCTCCATGGCATCTAGCGCCGTCTTGTCGGCAGTAAAGATCATCCATATCATTATCCTTCAATTCAGGCGCGAAAAAGTCATTAATCATGGCTCTATAGTATTCCCTATTGACTGTAATATTATGGCCGGCTTCATTTTTGAAGAAATATGGATCGCTGATTCCCTCTGCTCAAAAATCACACTAAACAGTGATCTTCTTGAGAAGGTAAGGCCGTCTCAACAATTTTGTTTATTAGCGTACCCATTCAACTAAACGTGAGCTTCATCGCTTTTTTGTGAAACCGAAAATTTCGTCGAGTGAACTAAACCACTATTTTGGTAATTAATATGCACGATTTGCAAACTTTGTTCCAGAGTAAGTCTGTTCATTAGGAAATGGCCAAGTGAGTATAAATCAAGTAACAGCTGTCAACTACGAAAAACGTATTGCTTCATTAAAAACCTAAAGTCTAAAGAAAGCACCCTTATATGGAAGTACCTAACAGCATAAAATAAGCACCTCACTTTTTGTAATGAAGAAGGTAAACATTTTCTAGACTATACTTTTTTAATAGTATTTTGATATTTTAAAAATGGTACTGTAGGAACGATTCAATAGTTGTTTTTTTTTTTTTTTGTTATTTCATGTACCTATTATTTCGTAGTAGCAGTTGTTTAGCGGTTTAGTTTTTACAATTAGATTTGCAGTTTTGCCGGATATCTAGATAAACCATTTTTAACCCTTCAAATTTCAACCACGCCTTCCTCTTCCCGATCTTATATCGCCCTTAAATTATTTTTATATCCTTCTTGATATTTTATATTTCGTTTCCGTATTGAACCGCTATTATCACAGAAAAAGATGAGAAGCTCTGAGTTTCATTAAGGTACTTTACATACCATCACAAATATATGCGCGATAAAGTCAACCGGATGTTTTAAAATTCTGACATTAGTTATATGGCGGCTAGGTCAAGTTTTAAACCGATTTTTTCCATTTTATGCATAAAGATACATTGTTATAAGAAAAACACGCTCTTTTAATTTCATTAAGATAACTCGCATTGACCAATATTTGCGGTATAAAGTTAGCCGGAGGTGCGAAAATTTTTCTATTAGATATATGGGGATTAGGGAAATTATTGATCTGATTCAACCCATTTTAGGCACACGGGCGTTTTGATATCAGATAAATATTCTCCCTGAGTTTTTATAAAATACCCAAAATGTGGGTATATCCCAATAGAAATTAGGGTTCATATATTTGGTGCTTGGGGGCACAGTTTTGTTTCGATTTAGATAATTTTTGATCATAAGCTGGCACACTTCAATGTCAGTATTCGTGCAAAGTTTTATCCCGATACATTTACTCTGCGGCATAACAATGTCAGAATAATGCCACCTCTCGAATTCGGTTAAACTCGGTCGAGCGAGTTACGAGATATGCGTATCAACTTAAATGTATGCGATGCCACGCCCATCTTTTAATTTTGACACCGGCTCCTATAAAGTCTTCTCATACCATCACGGATGTAAAATTTAATGTATCTGGCGATTTTTTAACAGTACCGTTATATGGGGAGTGGGCTGGGTTATATTGGTTTAGGAGATATGTACATTAAATCTCATAGCCCACTTTAAAAAAATGTTTAGCCAACACGTGTACCAAGCTTTATTGCGATATCTCAATTTTTACTCAAGTTATCGCTCGCACGAATGTACAGACAGACGGACGGACAGACGAACAGATGAGCGAACAGACAGTCAGACGGAATTCAACTCGTTAGATGAACAAAACTATTACTCTGTAGCAACATATTGCACGAGTATAAAAACTTGTTATACGAACTTACTGTGGAAAAGAATCAAAGGTCAACGAAAGCGAAATAGAAAAATATTTACAAACTAAGAGAAACGCCAAGTAGAGAGCGTACATAAAGCAAAACGGCAACGCAAACAAAACTCTGTGACAACAAAAAATATAATATATAGAATTGAAAAGACATTAAGCGTAACAGAAAAAAACTGCGACTGCGTGCGAGGCAGAGCCAGCAAGAATACGAGATATGGCAGCTCACGTGCTTTTACAGGAGCAAGACAGTACAAAATGTATACGTGTACTATATATACATATTTATTTATTTATTGTAATACATATGTAGTATAATAATTAAAAAAAATATATATATAATCAACAAATTAAAACAACAACGGTAAACACCAATAATGAACGCAAAAGCCTTGCGGTGTAAACTGTGTCGCTGTCTCGCAATGATTTTTTATGAGGAAAACACGACACTACTAAATGTGTGTACACAAATATATAACATATGTATGAGGTACCCAAAATATGTGTATATATAAAATGTGCTATTATCATTCCGAGTAGTTATGCGTGTACTCAACTCACTCGATAATATATTTTACTGACATGGATGTGGAAGGTCTGTATTTAGTTACATTTGTTTGTATACAAACTTGCAGGCAATGATACGCATTTTCTCTATTCGTGGTATTTTGTGCCTAATCTTGTAATGTCCCACAGCATCATATAGTAGGGTCAAACATTCACAAACATCAAGAAAAGAAGTGTTGATACTGTATTCTCTAGCAGAGAAGTTACAACTATGTTGCGGGCAACTCTTTTGGGTAGTCCTTGGAAATTCGAGAACATATAAATATGCACACATGTATATATGTGCGAGTATTAAACACTGATAAATAGTTTTAAAATTTTCCAACTAAGCATAAAGTGGTAGTAAGGAATAATTCGCTAGTTTGTAATTCGATATTGAAAAAAAAACTAGCTATCCTAATTGCCTAACTGTATGCAAGGTCAAATTCAAATATTAAAAATCTAATGCTATGCAAATAATTATTGCCTACATTTAGGATGCAAAGTTTTCCAGATTAATCGATTTTGGTAAATTGTATTTTGTTTTACGTTTTCAAAGTAGTTTTTTGGTTATAAAATATTACTTTCAAGAACTTGATTTTGGCAGCTGTATGATATAGTGATGCGATCTGAAACATTTTTTCAGAAATTGCACCGACAAAACCTCTGCCAAATTTCTTGTAGATATTTCTTCAAAAGAAAAAGTTTTCGATACAACGACTGGATTTTGATAGATCAGTTTGTATGAGACCTGTATGCTATAGTGGTTCGATCAGAACAGTTTCGTCGGAGATTGCAGAATTGCCTTAGACAATAATCCATGCTAAATTTCTTGAAGATATCTCGTCAAATGAAACAGTTTTCCATACAAGCACTTGATTCCGAGCGTTTATTGTTATATTATATTAAACGAAAGATCCTAACCGAACTACGAAACCAAATCTACAAATTTCTTAAATAATACCATACTGATCTGCTGAGCTACATTGTTTTTATATTCAAAATACCTTGAAGCTTCTACGTCTGAAAGCACGTGCGTCACTGGTGTAGCCGTAAGCAGTAAGACTAACGTGTTGCATGTGCTGAGCTTTATGCGATTCATGAGTACATATGGTACATACAGACATAGGTATGTAGACTATAACTGCGTATTTATATGTGTTTATGCACTACCTTTTTCTGCAGAATTTGGCTTACAAACTCGTATACATACCTAAGAGGTATACCATAAAGGTATGAAAAAATATTGTATTTATAACTGTAAGCTATATACGAGCCATAAATAGCTGGAAAATAAAGGGCCCGTCGCGCTAGAAGAGAAAACTCGCCAACAAATTTGAGAGCAAAGAAAAGAGAAACTGCGTGAAAGCACAGCTCACACTTGCTATTTATATTGTTTTGTTTATTTACAGAACCAACCTGTTTTGTTGTGTGGTAAACTTTTACTATTTTAATGTCGACATTGACTTCGACAAACCACAAAAGCAGTGCTATAAATGACTAAAATGATGTGGATAATTGGGAGAAAAGAGCTTACACAGAGTGAGAGAGCTTGCTGTATGGAATATTTAAGCATAATTTTTCACCCCAATGCAACCCTTATTATAAACATTCAAAAGAAGCTTTCAACGAAAGATTGCAGCACCAAAGAGAAAAAGAGAGAGAAATTGAGAGGCAGGGAGAGAGTGCGTCATACACATCAGGGTACTGCAGCCCCTCAATAACTAATATTCTTATTACAACACAAAATAAATTATTTACACCCTCACCTAACAAGCTTCACAGTGCGCCATCAGAGCACCAGTTAGCACATTGGAGTGTATAGAGTGTATTGTTCTGCTAGCTGGCGGAAAAGCTTTCTCGCAATAGCGCATGCAATTCATTTTGAAAGTGAAATTTACGAAATCGTGAGCGTTAATGTACATTTGCAATCGAACTGTCCGACGGTGCGGAGGACAAACACGCAGAAACATTAAAAATATTGCGCAAAGCAACGGTTTTTATTATAATAAAAAAATAGGGGAGACAATATTTACTTTTTCTAATTGCCATACAACAGTTTTTCTTAAGCTTTTCGCGCAATATTTCGTAGCGTCGGAGAAGTATACTTGCAAATGAGATACAACAATAAAAAATTTAAATAAATAAATGAGTTAAAATTTCGTATTTGGAGGGGTGACGAGAAATAAATTCAAAAAATAAGAACAAAATGTGCAAAATATGTGATAGTACAGAAAGAAAACGTGTAGAGCGTGGTTAACAGCAGGCGAGAGGTAAACTGCAAGTGTGAAAATTTATGGAACAAAAATTCGTTACTTTACCCCTAAATGGTGCTAACTGCTACCTGCTACTTTGGTACTTACAATACTTTGTTCGCCTGCGACCACGTCAGAGCTGTGAAAGGAGAAAGGTTACTAGCTGCTCACTGGTAGTACTACACAACAACTCCGATTTAAAAGCAACAATTAATATTCGAAGAAAAATAATAAATATAAATAACAAAAAAAAAAAATGTATTGCCATTAAATTCACAATTATTTGAAATACAAGTTTGCGTTGAAATGATATTAAATGCGTTAACATATGTCACTTTCGACAATAGCTGCTGGCTTTTCAGCGTTGACGCCTGAGCGTTCAGTCGCGAAGAGAGCACAATAGAGAGCCAAGAATGTACGGCAGATGAAAGCAGCAAAGCAGAGAGCTTTATTAATGCCAAAGTAAATGCGAAATACATACAAACACACAAGCAAATATACAAATACAAATGAGTGCGGAAAATTGTGAAGAATTGATAGTAAAATCCAAAGACAATCTCGTACAACAACGGATGCCACCAAAGAAAATATAACAAACACCCCACCAACACAAAGGAATAAGGCAATATAAGAAGTAAATATATTGGCAGTAATAGGTAGCAGTAAAAACTTACACATACACATGTTATAGACCACCGATACAAATTGAGACGGAGCAGTAACAATATGTTGATAAGCAAAAGTTCCTAAGCAACTTCTTAAGCTGAAACAAGCATAAGTATAGAACTAACACACACACATACATAAACTTATAGTAAAAAAAATACAAATATATTTAATGCGTAACTTAAAAAATAAAAATAAAATATAAATAAATAAACGAGCCATCAGAAGGACGTACACGTGATACTTGGAAGTCATGTTGCGCCACATGTTGCTGATGTGAACACTGTTGCATGCGTGTATGGCGTACATAAACATATATGAGTAAAGAGGCACATGTATGTTTTTGGCGAAGTAAAAACAAATAAAGCATTACAACAAAATTGAAATTGTCAATGCAAAATGAAGAAACCAGCAAAATACTAAGAAAAAAAAAAGTAAACAAATAATACATAAAACTAAAGTAAATATTACATACATGTGTAAATAAGAATAATTATATTACTAAAAGTGAGAAATAAATTTTGTTTGCAAACGTGAATAATGAGGAAGGTGAGCATATAAGTGAAAAATAAAGAATAAATCTAAAATTTATTATGTTGACGAAAAGAGCGCGGAAAAAAATGTGTGAAATTCTTATGCTATTTAATTCGAGCCCACTATAGTAAAAATTTAAATAAACATAAAAATATTGAATAATTAAATAATAGTTATAAATATTAATAATAAAAAATAAATATTATATATAATAAATAAAATAGTATTAAATAATATTAAATAATAATTAAATAGTATGAAATAATAATTTAAATAATATTAAATAATAATTAAAATAATATTGAATAAAAAAGAAGATAAAAAGTTAAATTCGGTTGCAACGCAGCTTGTATACCCTCTAAAAATAAATACAAGAACTTGATTTGGACCGGTCGGTTTGTATGACAGCTATATGCTATAGTGTTCCCATCTGAAAAGTTTATTCGCGTATTTTACTGTTGACTACATGACATACATGAACTTAATTTGTATCCATCAGTTTGTATGGTAGCTATATGCTATAGTGATCCGAGCCCGCAAACTCTTCAATGTCACACTATTTTGCGGTTGCACTATTGCCTTAGACAATAGTCCATGCCAAATTTCGTGAAGATATCTCGTCAATTAAAAAAGTTTTCCATACAAAAGCTCGATTCCGATCGTTCAGTTTGTATGGCAGATATATGCTACAATGGTCCGATTTCGGCGGTTCCGACAAATGAGCAGTTTCTTGGGAAAAAATTTCAGATTCATATCTCAAAAACTGAGGGGCTAGTATGTGCATATACAAACAAATGGACGGGCAAGACTAAAACGACTCAGCTCATCATGCTGATCATTTATATATATACATATATTTTATAGGGTCTCCGACTTTTCCTTTTTTATGTAGCAACCTTTGTGGCAAACTTAATATACACAGTGCAGGGTATCAAAACTGTTTAGACCCGCTGCTTTCTAACGACTATTTCCAAAAACTAGCAACCCAATAAGAAAATATTTGGAGAGTTTTTATAAAATAAAATTAATTATATAATCAAAAGAAATTAAATAATATATTTAAATAAATTTTGGTGAATTTTGTGTTATTAAATCTACAATAATATTAAAAATTATTAAACATAAAATAATGAAAAAAACTAACAACTAATTTCTCCGCAACAAATTTAATTAAATGTTTCATACATTTATTTCTAATAGCGGCAGAGTAGCAGAAGATCGGTTAATTAAATATATGCAAGTGAATGCGAGCATAAAGAATCAATAATGTAAACCCTCCAATAGTCGAACTAGTTAAATTATAGAACAAAAAATGTATATATTTGAAAATATTAAAAAAAAATTACACTAATTAAATTAAATTACATAGAGAGATATACGTGAAATAAGACGGAAACAAAAATAAAACATCAAAATCAAAAAAATTCCAACATTTTTTGGCGGCAATTAATTGCAAAATAAACGCAGCGAACCGGCTAAGAATGATTTGGCAAATGCAGCAAGGAAATAAATAAAAAAAAAGCCTGTAGAAAAAACTACTACAGCAATCTAAATAAAACACGTTACAACAACTAAACAATAGTACATGTAAACGCACACGATGTTGTGTTTATAAACAAATATTAATGGTTTTTAGCTGTGATACAACGTCTAGCGATAATTCAAAACGGTAGGCAAAAATAAAAGCAATAACAACATTTTGAACACAACATTGTATTATTATTATTTACTTATTTGTGTTACACGTTCATTAATCCACATATGCACAACCATGCAATTAATTATATGCATACGTTTATGGTTGTGTGTAAGCAGGCATTATATGCATGAATGACAATGCATTGTGCTAGAGTAAACTTATGCATTTACTATTCATGAGTAAGCAGAGAGGCAGTTATTGGTTTTCAGTAAAAAGTGACAACTCAAATAATCACTTTTCTTAAAGGATGTTATAGATAAATGAAGTAAAAAAATGTAATTACAAATGTGGCATTGCGCTGCAGTTCTTATTTTCATTTTTGTGTTAAAAAAAAAAATAAAACCCTGAGTAATTTTACAAAATATAATTAAATAAAAAGTAACAAAGAATGCAATCACCAGATGAAAAAAAAAATATTAAATCAAACAAACTAAAACTCAAAAATATGTTAATATTAAATAAAAAATAAAATTGAAAAAAAATTATATGCTATAAATCAGCTAAAATACAACAGTATTTTCAAAATATAGGTAATAACAAATATTAGTTAAAAAATTTACTAATTAAATAAAGTATAATAAAATGTTGATTTGTTTTTTGCAAACGCTTTCTAAAATGTCTGTTTTTGTTATAAAAACATTTTATCAACTCAAAGCAGCTTTTTATTTTCAATTTAAACCGTGCTTAAGTCGTTTTACTTTTTCCACGCATTTACCATAAGATGTGATCTTTTGTTCTTTTACATTTTTTATCGACAAAGCAAATAAGCCTACAACTTTGACACGTGAACAAAAACGCTCTACAAAACGATGCTGATAATTTTTTCCTTAAAAACATTCCTTTAAGAGTTATACGCGGTTAAAATTATGCATCTTATATATTAAAATTATAAAATTATGCCTTATAAATTCTGTGTTGCTTATACAACATGGTGTACGAGTACTGTATGCATGCTCAACTTTAACTGCTTTTATTTTTTAAAGAAATGGTCTTATGGAAAAAGGCATTAAAACATTTTTTGTAGATCGCTAAATTTTTTATTCAACTATTTTTCATTCAATATTATATACATGGAAAAAAATGCATGATGATGTAGGTACGGTTTCAATTAATAATAAAGAGCTGGTTGTTGGATGTTGGATAATTTTGTTAGAACAATAACTAAAACTTTAGGGCGCGTTTGCAAAAAGAAAAAAAATTATCAAAAATCAGCTTGGAAAATAACATACACACTAATGTATACATGTAAGTAATGATGGAGTATAATCGTGAATGCCACAAACTGCAAACAAATTAACAGTTTGCACTTAAATAAGTCTGTACTAAGCTAAGATTTCGAAGCACTTAAGCCATATATACAATATGTAGATTAGATTCACTGTACATGAACGTTAAGGTATTCAACTTGAAAGAGAAGAAACGAAAGTACCCTGCAATCCCTTCCTTCTGTGACTTCGCCGATTTATTTCCAGAAATCATTTAATTAATTTCTATGCGATATACAAGTATTTTGTCATTGTGAAAAGCTTTAAGCATTATATAGCACAAATGAGTAAGCAGCAGGTAGTGTGCGAGCAATTTAAGTTAATTAATTAGGCAGCGAGCGCGTTTAGCGGTAATGCTAGCTGATATTTACACGTGAAAGGCAAATTTCAATTTACAGTCTAAAAACTTTTTCGCATCTTAATGTCTTTTTTTTTTTTTGGTTTTGAATTCATAAAGCTGCACTTTTAAAATCATAGTTATTATATGAACTTTCTTTGAGGTGAGCGCATTTATGAATTAAGTGCGCAGTTAGGATTAAGCTCTTAAGTATGTATGAATGCACCTTCATAATGCATACCTATGCCTGCCTTTACATGCCTGCGTACTTATTACAAATAATCTCTCGGGGCTTATTCGATGTATTTTATTATTTATAAAGATCAGTGCTTAAGCATAGATGATGTATTGCTAAGGCAAACTTGTGAGCAGATGTTTCAAATTACTTTTGAACGAATTAAAAAAAAAATTTATATTTTAAATTTAGGTAGTTAATGCAAGCTTACAAGCGTTCTAAGTAAGTTCAGAGGGAAAATTAGTCGGGGGAAAGGGGGGTGAAAATACATTTTATATGAATAAACAAATAACTACTTAATGATAAATAGGACATTTTGAGGACATGTATGCTTGTATTATTAGCTTTATTGGCTATATAATGATTTACAGCACCTTAATTTAGTAAATTAAAGCTTATCAATGGACTAAATTAACTAAATTATTTTCATATGCATTAGGAATTTATTTATATATTTAAAATACATATTATAGCAAACCTCTTAAAGTTTGAACTCTGGGCCAGGGTATAATAATTATGACATCCAAAGACAGTAGAAAGGACTTACAACTGAATTATAGGAAATTCTCAGCAATAATACTAATAGTAATTACGCAATTTACAATTTAGTAGCCACAAAACCTTGAACTTTTAAATATTACTCTTAATCTACGGTAAACCGGTGTTAACGCATCACGGCACAATATCACATAATTTTCGTTGGGTCTCCCATATCAAACAAAAATAAATGCAGCCATTCATGGGCATATTAGGTAAGCAAAATCAAGGTCAATGATGCACACATGCAATTCGTAGCATACGTGCGCTTGGCAATCATGAAAAAGGGTAGACAAAATGCGACTTGTTGACTGCTACTTAAGTACAAAAGGGAAAAGAAAAAGCTAACGGTAATAACAATAATAACGTAAGCGCATGTAGCTCCCCACCAAGCTTTTTCAAATGTCAGTATGTCACCAATGTAACGATTACTAATTTACGCCCACACGCAGTCGCTTGAGTATAAAGTAAAGAAGGTGATGAAAAGAAAATCATAGTGAATTTCACGAAAATCCCTGGATTTATCAGTTTGTGGTTGTAGCTGAACACTGAAGTAAAAGAAAGCAACAGATAATATGCAGAAAAGCACGCAAGTGAAACCTAAAAGTGTGAAAGTGTTAGGTGTGTGAGCAGACTTACAGACACAATACACATATATAACTATTAAGTACGCTTAGTATTATGTTTTTGTGGGTTGTGCAGTATTAACTTATGTGAATTCGTGTACAATCAAATGAAAACATGGAGATGTGTAAAAATCGCATTGCAACAAAGTCATGATTCAAGAAAAGTCTTTACTACCTACATTTTACGCAATCAAATAAAAAATTCAAAAATGCTTGCTGTGTGCGCTTATAAAGCAGGTTTACGGTATTATATATATATGACTTTCCGTTCGCTTTTCGCTTAGAAATGCACGGAGATTGCGTCACGAATCGAATATGTAAGCAGGTAATGATTCAATTAAAAAGCCATAGGCAGGTTGAACGCAACACAGTAGGCGCGATAAAAGTTTAATGTAACAAAGAGAAGCAATAAATTCTTAATATACTTAGGTATACATTCCTGAATGTAGAAATGTATAAGATGAAATGTGAAATTCAATGTGCACATTCCTCAGCTCAGCTATATGCTAATAAATAATATAACCATACTCTCAAAACTTATCAAGGTCCCAAACTTCACATAACAACAAAAAAGGATTTTTTTTTTGCTTTCTTGAAAAAAAAAAACACAACAGTTCTTTAGATTAGATATAAACTAGGTGACTAAACGCTTCGTCTTAATTGCGCATACATCTTAAAGGAGTAATGTAGTCTAGAAATAAAAAAAATATTTTATTTTTTATTTTTTAAGTTTAACTGTACAAGAATATAACTATAAGAGAAATTTTCAAAATTCAAATTATTTTCGGAGACATAGATATTTCGCTGACCTGGCATCCAACTGGTTAATTCAGTTCCCGAATGTTAAACGCGTTTTTCTCGAAAGGTCTTTTTCAAACTTTTCGGTTTCACAGGTTGTACTAAACCGATTTATCTGAAATTTTTAGTCTTATTTATAGATTTGTCCATGTCTTGAACTATTCATATCCACAAATTTAAATTTTTACCATTTTTAAAACGTTCAAAACAGTTAAAAAAAAGTGATAAGCAAATTGTTTTTCCAGGGCAGTCGGCATTTCGAAAAAAAACTTTTTTTTGTTACAGATTGCTAGAAGGGTTGAAAGCGTGGGGATCATCACGTGCCAATTTTTTTAGACCCACTACTTTAGCTGCTAATTTTGAAAATTTTAACTTTTTTTTTATTTTTTCCTGTATTCCTGTAATGTTAATTAATAGCTAATAAACAAATGGATAGTAAAAAATATTATTTGGCTGTTCATTACTCCAAATCCAAAAATCTCCTGAAATTCATGCCTCTAGACTAGAAGACCTCCCTTATTTGGCAGAAAATTATAGCATTTCTTAAGTTCAAACCATTTTTTTAATAAGCTTTTTCTTATAAGAAATATAATCGTAGGCTACACAGAACTTGCCAATTGGCGAAAGCTGAAAAAAACCATTTTTCTAAAAAAAAAAAACAAATTTTAAGCTTGCCATAAAAGTTAATTTTTTTTATAAATAACTTTTAGTTCTCACACAATTTGACGGCTATAATAGTTTTAAGCTTCTTTTGAATTAAAATCTTCATAAAAAATTGTGAGCTAATTAAAAAAGTGACTGTCAATTATAAAATTGTTAACACAGTAAGCTTTTGGTAATGTCTATGACGCGGTTTTATGTTTTCGACAGAGCTTTCACATATTTTTTGCTTTCAAAAAGGTCACAAGATAAGCATTGCGTTCAATTATTGAAATTAAATTTTCCATTTGGCTACTTAGAAACGTATTTAATACTCAGGCTAATTTAATATTTATTTAGGATTATAAAAAGCTGACGTTGCAATTAGCACTTAATTTGAGGATGGGTAACACAAATAACTGTAATGTAAGTATATTTATATAGATAATAATTAGTTTGAAACGACGATAAAGCAAATTATATGTATGTAATGAATGTAAAATGTTGGATAGAGCACTTTCCAGCAAAAATGT